AATTAAAATATTAAATATATACAAAATTTTCAACTTTAAATTTATATTTTTTTATAAATAAATAATATTTAAATATACAAATAAATGTTTTAAATATAAATTTATATATTTTATAAAGTTTTTTAATATAAAAATAAATAAAAATTAAAAATTATAGCTTTTATAAGAAAATATTTTTATTAAAATATTTTTAAAACTTTGAACTTAAATTAATGCAAAAAGATATAATTTTTTTTTGATTTTACTTAAAAAACATCATAAATTTTATTATATTAATTTTATTAGTTTAATAACTAATTTTTAATATATTTAAAAGTATAAGTAAATTCCTTTTAAATTTGAAAGGAAAACTATTAAAGGGATACTATAGTGAATTCTTGATATAACAAATCTTAGGATCTGGATTTTAATTTTGTTATAAGTTTATAATGAATTTTTTAAAGAATTTAATTAGCTGGTTAACTATAGTAAAGTATATTTAATATATTTGATTTAAAATTCGATATATCAAGGGTTTGCTATATTAAAGTTTAACTGTATTATAAATTTTATTTCATCAATCATAATTTTTATTATTTGTAAAGGAATTATAAATAAAAATAAAGATATGTATTATTAGTTCAAAAAGTTAGATACTGAAATTTTCTAATATCTAAAACTCTACAGAAAATATCTGTTTTATATCACAGGTAATATCAACTTAATCTTTAATAAAAAAGATAAAATATTTAGATTTGATTAACAAAATGCATGTGAATTGTTAATAAATAGTGAAATTTCCTATAGTAACAATGTAATAACTAATATAAAATTATCAGTAAAATTTTTAAATATATAAATTTTATTAAATTGTGATTATATATTTATTAATAAGAATAAAACAAATTTAAAATGAAATTAAATATTAAATAAATGTAATTTTTATAACTATAATTACTAAAAAATATTTAATAACTTAAAATCTATGAAATTATATTTAAGTAATATGAAAGCTTATAAAAGTCTTTACATATTAAGAGGAACAAAAGTATTGTACACAATTTTGATTTAGATATTTTAGTTAATTTATTATATGTAACTGAGCCATATTTTTTTGTAACATATTGATTATTAACTACATAAATGAAATATTTTATTATAGTTTGAATTATTAATATGTTGCAATTCATAAAATCATATTTGAAAATACTTCCAAATTTTGATTTGGCATAAGTGATAGTATAATTAAAGGACTTATCTTTTAGAAAAAAACACATTATTGCAGCCAAAATTGTATTCAATAACTCAGAAATCATAAATATTATAGGATGTCATTATACAATTGTTTTTTGGTTTCTTTTGCAAAAGAAACATCCAAAGTCAAATTTCGAATCCTATAGCGAAGCTTAGTACATACGAAAAATTGAAAAGTAGAGTTTTTAAATTTTCAATTTTATACCTTACAATGCTTTAATTTTAAAAATTATTTAAATAATTTATTAAGTATAAGCTAGCCAATATGTTACTAAAAAAAATATGGCTCAGTATATCTTCAAATATGAGTCCTTTACAATAAAAAGGGGACACTTTTATATGCCAAATATGATTTTAAGCCAAAATATGTTTAAATATATTTATAATTTAAGTATAAGCAATTACTTGTAAGAATGATAAATTATAATAAGAATGAGAGCGAACTTTTCAGAATAACTCCAAAAATTATTTTTTCCATAGGCTGTCAACCTTTTGATACTTAAGCGAATTTAAAAATTGGTTTTTCGGATTCGCTTATACGAGTCATTTCGGAGAAAAATAAATTCTTGAATTTTTCTGTGCAATTTTTTTCCTATCCATTCCATATTATATCCACTCATGAATTTACAAACGAGAGATCTCGTACAATAACGAATTAGGTTTTGAATTTATATAAATCGAAGTAAATATTTATTATACACGGCATATTAGGTCTATTATATTAGTATCGTATATTACTAATGTCAGTATATCCTCTCCATTCAACCAATTAATCACATAACGGTGAATCAACTTCGACAATTATATAGAATAATGGTATATAAACTTAATGTTTACGTGAAAATAAATACAAACCGTCTTTACCACAATTAGTTCTGCTCATATAAAAAGAACCGGTTTGTAAATAATCGGCTTGGTTTTAAACAACTTAAATCAAAAATTTACGAAATAAATTTTAACGTGTTCAATCTATCTATCTTTGTATATTTCTTCAAAAATCTTACTAATTAGCGAATAATTTTATTCATTTCTCATATATAAGTCATGATTTTTTATTTAATAACATTGTACCCATTGAATTTTACTACCCATACCATTCTTTTACATTCCCTTTTAAAGTTGGTACCACCTTTAATTTAAACTTTAAATAAATATATAATGAAATAATATCAAACTAGAAAAATCAATAGTTCTTTTAAAAACTACCACAAATGTACAATATTTTCAATACTAGATTTAGCAATCTCAAAAGCATCTCTGGTAATTTGAGATGTTTTAATATTTAAATTCTTAAGTTTACCTTTTTCATTTGCATATTTAGCGAAAATATTTAAATGATTATCATTAAGAGCATAACAATCAGGAAAACCCAAATCTTCTAAAGGTGCAATACAACAATCTAAAAAATCTTTTAATGTATTAGGAGTAAAAGACCATATTGCATTGACAGTAAGCTTTCTTAGATCTTTAGGAATCATCTTTCCAATATCGATTAAGAATTCATTAGCATTTAAAGGTTCTCTACCATGTACTATTAATTTTTCCAACTTATTACAAGAAATTAATAAAGATTTTAATTGATGAATTTGTAAATGAGCATCAAATATAATTAAATTGTGACAATACTGAATAATCGTTTCGATTATTTTTGGATCTTCTTGTGAATCGTAAATCGGTGGCCATCCCAATGAAATTTCTTGTAATGTATCATTATTGTTGATTATAAATGATGATAATGTTAATGGTGGATTGTGGTCAACATGAAGTGTCAATTTTTTTAATTTCGGGAAGTGTGCCGTTTCCAATGGTTTTGTTGCTTCGTTTTTTACATTATCACATTTCATAAATATTAATACTTCTAAATTTTTACAAGCTACGAGAGGTGCAAATGTTACTCCATCTTCAAAATTAATACCACGAAATTCTATTTCTCTGAGAGTTTTTTGTTGACTTTCTAACGCTGGTATAATTTTTGATAAAGATCTGTAATATGTTTGTATTTTAAATTTCTGTAACGATCGTTGACTTTTGATTAATTGTGCTAATTTCGTTGGAGCTGATGTTTTTATAATATCATCTAAATAATAATCTATGCTTAAACTTATTAGATTTCTACAACGTTGTGATAATGCCATAAAAATTTCTTTCTTATCAAATGTTCCACAACAATTAAATTCTTGTAGTTGTAATAAACTTATTTCTGCATTAGGAAAACATGGTATTAACATATAATCTGCATTGTCCGGTGGATGAGGAAGTAATTCCAAATTAATATTAAGGCTAAGTATTTTTGAACATTTGATAAACAATTTACATAATTCTCTTGTTATTGTAAAGATTTTCGTTGAATCCTTATTTGAATCTGGCAACCACGCTGATGATGATTCATAAAAATCCACATATTTAAGATGTCTCAAAAATGACGCATATTCAAAACTTGGTTTTCTTTTTAATAAATTGCTTAAATCGATCCCTGATTTGATTAAAATCTCCCTCTCATTTACATCTAAACAAGAAAGATATGTTGTTATTAAAGTTGCTGATGGTTCTTTTATAATTTGAAAAGGTTCACTCCATAAAATAGATACTACTATCTCACACCATGTTTTATTGACTAAAATACAAGAGAATAATGAATGCTTGTCCTTTAAAAAATGTTCAAAAACTTGTCGAAATATCTCTACAGGTATCGACATGATAAATATCTGACGAGCAAATTAAAGGAATAAAAAGAAAAAAAAAAGAAATTATATATTTTTACTGTTGTGAAACGTTCATAAATATTCAGCCCTTTTGTTACGCTTAATTCTGGTAATTACTAATGTCGATCAATTGTCGGGACATCAAAGTTTTTTTTATTTAGGTCATAAGGTTAACATGAGACAAATTTATTCATATTCTAAAATTGGACTTCATTTTCAAAACTCAATTTCTCTGTGTCACTATGAAAATCAAATATATATCAAGTAATACGCGAGATAAACATTTCCATTTACCCCCTTTTTTCCTCCTCTCCAAAACCCAAAACGTCAACGATAATGACAACAATTCATCCTACAAAGAATCTTTCATATAGCACATTAAAAGTTCGTAATAAATCACGTTCAACATCTTTACCAACTTTCCCTTCTCCGTTAACACCACCACTACCATCAGAATTACCATCCGACCCAAAAAGATGGTCTTCATCACATGTAGCCGCTTATCTGACTTATTGTTTACGTCTTCATCCTCCAGCAATTATATCAGATTTAGCCAGGTTTGTAGAAGAGGATACTACACTTACTGGACGTAAATTCTTAAGGCTAAAAGAAGAACAATTAAGACAAATGCATTTTAATGAAAGATGGATCAAATTAATTATGATTGGTATTAAAGAGCTAAGAAGAGAACATTTAAAAGGCAAAATTCTTTTAAATGGTAGTGAAACTATAAGTGAAGAAACTGATGAAATGGAAATTAAAGAGTCTGGTGAAGAAAGTCATGATGAACGTCCTTTGGAAAGGAATTCTTCTATTTCTACTACAGATACTTTAGTTGGTTCGTTTTCGAATAATGATTTTAAAGATTTTTTTGTTCCTACTTCGTTTTCTAATTTATCTCTAGATGATAAAGAATTTATTTGTCATGAATTTACGAAATTAAAAGAATTTCTAAAATCGGATATTGAAAATATTAATAATATAGATTTTAATGAATTAAATCAACTCATTGAAAAAGCTATATCAAATATCGAAATGAATCAAAAAGATATTAAAAAAACTTCAATAACAAAAGGTTCATTACTTTCGTTTAAGTGGCTTGATGATGATAGGATAAAGAATTCGTACTTTGGAAGTAATTTTGTTCGAGGGTTTATGATTGGTGGTGCTGCAGTTTGGGCATATATGAAGTTTTCTAAATGATGAAAAGCGTAACCAAATAATTAATCACTCGTCTTACTATGTATTACATTAACTTTAATCTGTCAATATCTCCTTTTAAACCATTTCATCACATTTATATCCAAAAGAACAATCCACATTCATTTTTCATCATTTCGATTATTGTTCTTTTATAATTATAATTATTTTTTATTTTTACGTTTACTATTGCATAAAAAAAAGTTATTTTTTATATTTTAATTTTTTTTTCCTAGGAAAATATTGCTTTGGTAAATATTTGAAAAAAAAAGTAAAAATAAAAAAAAATAATAAAAAAAAATCTAAAATCCTTTAATAAAGTAACATTTATTTATTATAAAATTCGGTCGGATTTTAGTAATAGTGTTCCGATTGGGTACCCATATCATTCATATCATTGGATAATATAACTATTTAAACAGTTATTTCACATTGAAGCTTCTCTTCTCAATTTGTTCTTCGTTTATCTCATTATTAATAATTTTAAGTTCCAAAAATATCTATCTTTTCTATCATTTTCCAATAATTTTGATTAAATATTAAATACTAATCTATAACAAAATGAGATATATTAACAGCTTCTTAGAAAGTAATACAGTCAGAACTTGTTTAAAATTATAATCACCGTAATCATATCACTCTTATATTAAAATTTTGAATGTGATAATACAAAATATGATATATATATTTGGGTTGAATCCCAAATAAATTTCATAGTTAATCAATAAAAAACTTTTATTTTAGTATATATAACTCTATTATTATAGGATCTTTTAGATGTACCGGATAGAAAAATTTTAGTAATTTTATTAGAACTTACTCATTACTTATTTATCAAAATTGATAAGAATATATTGACTAAAGCTCTTACCTGATTATTAAAAGTAGTATGTTTGGTTGAAAAAAATTATGGACTGGAAGTGATAATGTTAAATATATATACCTTTAATTTATATTACTAAATTTATAATAATTATAATCTCTTGTATTCATTATGGTATTATTTATTTGAAAAAAATTAATGGAATTTTAGGTGAGTTTTTTATTTAGATTAATTATTATTTAATTTCTTTATAAGATATTTTTTGAATAGTTTTTTAATCTAATATTATAAAAAATTAAAATGCAATAAAAATTAGAATTTTAATAAAAAATTCTCAGAGTTCCATTTTTCTAGCAAACCTTCCAATTATCAAATAAATTAGAATTTTACATAATTATGCAAGCTATAAATTAGATAAATCAATTGGATTGTTTAAAACTGACATAAGCTACTGAATTAATAAAGTATTATTTAACAGCTAGAAGTTTAGTATTATATGATAAATTGGATTGTATTAATTTATATAAAACATTCATCATTTTAATGAAATTATTATCAGTAATGAGCTAAATTTAAAATAAATGATATTTTCAAAAAAATATGTATCTTTACCAGATAATATTATGTACTATTAGTTTAAAATTATAATAATGCATTAAAACCCAAAAGTTACACAGCTAAAGAAACTTGACATAATATTAATAATCAATAAAATACAGCATAAATAATTAATATAAATTATATTCAAATAGTCTATAAAGAGAAAAGATGAATTATGATATAATACATAATGAAGCTAAGAAAGAATTAGGATTATTAAAAAAAAAAGATAAAAGAGAGAACAAAGTATAATAATTGAATAATAATTATTCAATTATAATATTACACAATGATAAAGCAATGCTTATTTAATTATAATAGGAATGATAAAAGAATTATATCATTATAATTTAACTATTAGAAAATATTATGTAACAAAAAATATTATAGAATTATCATATAATATTTAAGCAATAATTATTAAATAGAGTACAACATTACAAAAAATAAAGTAATTATTATATAATTATTATATAATAGTTTTAGCTATGGTTTAAGAAAAATAAGTTATAAATAATCTTAAAAAATTATTATATATTGAGGATTTCAACTAGAACTTTAATTTTAAATCAAAGTTTAATTCTAAAATCTTATTTTATGCAATATTTTTAATAAAATTATTCTTAAATCCTAAATTTATAAATATCATCAAGTGATAAAATTTTAAAATTATATCAAGTTTTTTTTGTAATAAACTATCTCAAGAATTTAAATGTAAAAATTAAGTAAAATTATCTTAAAAGTTTTAATCATAACCTTAAAAAATTATCATATATTGAGGATTTTAACTAGAATTTTAATTTTAGATCCTAAAAATCTCTTATTCTTATGCAATATTCTTAATAAAATTATTATCATTAAGTGATAAAATAGCGGATTATCTTAGAATATTTTAATATATTAATATACTAAAATATTTTAGGATAATCCGCTTATACTAGACTAATATGTCTTAGGCCTAGAACATTATAATCTATTAATTAATATGTTCTAGAATGTTATAATCTATTAATTTATTTGTTCTAAGATGGGGTCTGTTTCCCTCTCTATGACCTGTTGGTTAGTAAATATGAATGAAATGTGCGCCTATTTAGTTATCTTTAGAATACTGAAATAGTGTAAAAAAATATTATATCAGGTGACACAATAGATCTGCAATTAATTTCGGCTATCACTATACATAATTTTGGCTGATTTTTTTACCATGTGATTCAATGATCCAGCCTGACATCATGATAATGCTGTAGTGGTTTCATGGAACTATTGTAGAAGTGATAGCAAACTTTCATAAAATATCGTAAAACTAGTAGAGAACTGTCATAAAACTGACAAAGTGTCAGAGAGTTTTCATTTATTCATAAGTTTTATATCATTTTTATATCAGTTTGAATGTCGAGTTATTGCATCTAAATTCTGACTGAAATTATAAAATAGTGTTAGCCAAAATTATCTTAATTTACTACTCCAATATTAATGATCACAGAAGATACAACTCTACATATATTATTAAGAGAATCATATGATAATGCTTCCAAAAGGCTCTGTGTCAAGTGATACTACATATACATATTGTTAAGAGAATCATATGATAGTGATCCTAAAAGACTTAATGTCAGATGATATTGAGATATTCTATTAGTCCACCCAGCATAAATGCTGAATTATTGTATCCAAAAATCTGGTTAAAATTATTGTTAACTTATTGTATTTAAATTTTTAATATCACATGACCAAACTCTAGTCTTTCCCTTTTCCCATCACCTTCTCATAAATTTTAAGGAATATTTGAGGAATATTTGAGTGGTATTTAGGATTTAAGCTAATAGATCAATTGGTTAGAGAATTGGAAATGCAAACTTCGTATCTCTTTTTGGTCCTATAATTTTATTGGCTCAGATACATATCATCGAGATGTAACCTTTATATCACATCTGAATATATACTAGTATTAGAGTATTTTTCTGTCAATATTTATATAATAAATTACACAGAAGAATACCCTAAATATTACCTATTAAGAATATGTTTATCTACGAATCTTACTATATATCTTTTTTTTTGAAGAATGAAAAAATAAATGTGCCAATGAAAGTACCTATACCTAAACACATACTAGTATTAGAATAATCTTCTGCTATTTTTATATAATATAATTACAGTCAAACCTTGATATAGCGAACTCTTGATATAGCGAATTTTTAAATCAAATATATTAAAATTACCTTT